TCCCCAGCCAGCCTGGCTGGGTGGGGAATTCTGGGAGTTGAAGTCCACACAGCTTAAAGTTGCCAAGACACTATTCTAGTGATTTGCAGAGATTGGCTTGGAAGGGCTCACCTTGAAAAACAGAGCCTCCCTTTTTTCAGCTTGGCTGGCAACCCTGCAAGGCATCCTTTGTCCACCCCAAAGGCACCTTTGCCGTAATCCGACGGGGGCAGGTCCCAGGTTGGCATCTGGGGAGACCGCGGTGGGATTGCCCCCCAGGGGCCTTATTCCAAGGGCTCTGACTTCTCCCAGGAGCCCCTCCAAAGGTCCAGGGTGACTTGGTGAAGAGGCCGCCCACCCTCAACCCTCTTCCTTCCGCCTCCTGGCAGGTCCACGCTTACATCATCAGCTCTTTGAAGAAGGAGATGCCCAACGTCTTTGGCAGGGAGAGCAAGAAGAAGGAGCTGCTGAGCAACCTGGGTGAGATCTACCTCAAGATCGAGCGGGAGCACCAGATCTCACCCGGCGATTTTCCCAGCCTCCGGAAGATGCAGGTAGGAACCTGGATTGGACCCCCGAGGGGGGAAGGGAAGCGGGTTTCCCGGGGCCTGGCGTGGTCGTTTTCTCCCCACATGTTGCTTCCCACCGAGCTCCTGTAAAGGAGAGAGGGGAGCCCCAGTGTTCTCCCCGTTGGGCCCCTCCAGGTGTTTTGGGGGCGGGGGAGCCTGGAGATGACGTCTCCCGCCCGGCTGGGCATCGCTGGCATCTTTCGGCACGGGTCACAGCTGGGGGGGGTCGTGTGTCCTCAGGAGCAGCTCCTGACCCAGGACTTCAGCAGGTTCCAGCCCCTGAAGCAGAAGCTGCTGGACGCGGTGGACGACATGCTGGCGAACGACATCGCCCGGCTGATGGTGATGGTGCGGCAGGAGGAGTCGCAGATGCCCTCCCAGGTGGTGAAGGGCGGGGCCTTCGAGGGAACCATGAACGGGCCCTTTGGCCACGGCTATGGCGAGGGGGCGGGCGAGGGCATCGACGACGTGGAGTGGGTGGTGAGCAAGGACAAGCCCACCTACGACGAGATCTTCTACACCCTCTCGCCGGTCAACGGCAAGATCACGGGGGCCAGCGCCAAGAAGGAGATGGTCAAGTCCAAGCTGCCCAACACTGTCCTGGGCAAGATCTGGAAGCTGGCCGACGTGGACAGGGACGGGCTGCTGGACGACGAGGAGTTCGCCCTGGCCAACCACCTCATCAAGGTCAAGCTGGAGGGCCACGAGCTGCCAGCCGAACTGCCTTCTCATCTGGTGCCCCCTTCCAAGCGCAGGCTCGAATGAACCCACCGCCTCCAGACTACCTGGCCCGGCGCGGCAGGCTTCGGGTGGGTGCCTGAGCGCTGCCCGCGGGAACTGAGTTCGAACCCCCCGTCCTGCGTGAAGCCCAGCCGCCCAGCCTTTCTGAAATGCACCATACTATATGTTCAGATATATGGGTATATCTCGATATAGCTACACGTCGGGAGATATATCTACATATATATGTGTGTGAGTGTCCCCCCTGGAAGAACGCGCAATACAATGTTTTAAGGCTGCAATCTTCTGTGGTGCTGCAGGGGGGAACCCCTCGCTTTACGCCGGCGGAAGGCAGCCCGGGGGCCC